TCCATCTTCTCATCCATCATACTTCAGCTTTTCAGAGCTTTCTCAGACAAGCCAAGGAAGGTCAGTCACTCCTCAGGCTCTTGCACTTGCTCCCTCTGCCTGGATAATACTTCTTTCAGATCTTTGCACGGTTTACATTCTCAGAAGTGGCTTCTGCCCAGTGGATCAAAAGTAATTCACTCTACTGGGACAGTCTCTTCTGCTTCGTTTGCTTTTTTCATAATGATTACCAGTTCTAAAATTATCATAACTTATTTAATTGTTCATTATATGCACTATCCTGTCTTATGACTGTTGTAGCTCCCCCACCTAGAAAAATGCCAATTAGACTATAGGTACTTGCTACTTAATGAGTATTTACAGAATGAATTAAAACATCAGTGGGGGTGTTTCTAAATATAACATACATCTCTTACTATGAAAAGAGAGAAATAATATGTAAAGATGACACATTCTGGAACATTCTATAAGGGAAAGTTTGTTCTGCCAAAGCAGGGGAAAATAATTGTTCCCAAATGATATGGATTTTACTGATTTTTTCATGTGTTTGTGAACACAGAGTATAAAATGGGCTAGTTTTCTAATCCTTTTGTTCTTCATATAATACTTGGGACAGTGGTTTCAAGTCAAAGGTTTCATGTCATAATTTGATAGGAGACTTCATGTCTTAACCAGGTCAATGATTCTTCAATGGATACAAATAATTGTTAAATAATGGTGATATCACTTAGTAGTTTAATGCATTATATTGAAATTTTTAAAATTCATCTAGGGAACATGTATTTATGCTATAATCACAACATATGTACAGAGATAGATACAGATAATTATATACATTTGTACTTGTATAGAATATATGTGCTTTTAACAAAAATTTGAAATGAATTTGTAAGCCCATATGAGAATGTGTACATGAAATTATCCGTGTAGCTAAACCACTGTTCTGTTTGTAAAATGAGATTAGACTTTGTGTTTTCCTAAACTGTGGTATAAAAGAATGGTCACAAGACTGAGATTCAGAAGATCTAATCCAGCGTCTGCTCCCTAGCATGATGTTGAACAAATCATTATACTCACTAGAATATAAGTTCCATTAGGACAAGGGATTTTTGTCTACTGCGTTCATTGCTGTATCACCAGCAAGAGACTGGAAGAGACTGGGCTCAGTGTAAGTGATGAACAAGTATTTGTTGCATGAGTTATACATCTCCAAAATTCGTTTCCACATCTATAAAACAAAGTTCTTTCCAACCCTTGCATTCTAAATAGTATTAAAGCTTTTGTGAATTTAAATATGAATTTAAATCCATAGCTAGAACTCTTTATTCAGTTTTTACCTGGGCCTTTATAAAATTTAGTTCATCAAAGCTCTTTTTTTTTTTAAGATTTTTTTAATTTTTTTTTTTTTATTAGAGAGAGTACAAGCAGGGGGAGCAGCAGAGGGAGAAGGAGAAGCAGGCTCCCCGCTGAGCAGGAAGCCCGATGTGGGGTTCGATCCTAGGACCCCAGGATCATGACCTGAGCTGAAGGCGGATGCTTAACCGTCTGAGCCACCCAGGCGCCCCATCAAAGCTCTTTTCATTGTTTTGGAATTTATTTATTTGAATTATTAACATGAATAAGACAAGAGCTAACTATCAGTGCATATTTGGTGTCTTCAAAAGGACTAAAACTAAAACTTTAAAATTAAAAATGTATTCAAATTCATAAAATTAAGTAAGTATAAAAGAAAGTTGAATAACCAGCTTCTTAAATGATGTTTTCTCAAAGTGTGTAGCATTTACATTTTGGAAGCTATTAAGTTTTAAAACTGCTTCAAGAATGTTAGGATACCCTGTAAATATTCTTCTTTAAGAATACTTGATGTCCCAATTAAATAATGCAAACAAATTAACAGACTCTTCATTTTTAATTTTTTCATTCATTGAACAAATATGTAATAAGTAACAACCATGTGAAACCTGTGTTAGGAAGTAGCCTACGTGATGAGCCTACTCTGCCCCTGTCATCTGCCCTGCCAGGGGCACACAGGGCCCTGAGATCTCTGGCCACAGAGCCTTTTGACCAGAGTCAACATCAACATTGGAAAGACTGCAGAGGAAAGATGTTGACCAGAGTCAACATCAACATTGGAAAGACTGCAGAGGAAAGAAGACAGTGGCCCCCTCCTGACCACCATTACTCAACCTCCCCCCCCAAACAGTCACCAGGGCCAGTCCCCCCACGGGTGTTACTTCCCTGTTCCCTCACAGCCTGTGGCCTCACTTCCTCCAGACTGATGATTCATGAGACCCTTACCCTTTATAATAAAACCAGGGCTGCTCTACCCTGTCACTCTCTATCCCCCCTTATCCTGCCTGTTTTTTTTTTCCATAGCATTTATTACCAAGCATATATTTATTTATTTGTGCATTGCCTTGGTTGTATACACACACTAGAATGTAAGCTCCATGATAGCAGGAAATTTGTCATTCATCAGTGCACCTAGAACAGTGTGTGACACATAGTAGGTGCTTAGTAAATATTTGTTGGGTGGATGGATAAATGAAAAACTGAATGAATGAATAACCTGAACCTCCCCACTACGATCCTCTTAAGTGTTTTTCCTCCAGTTTCCAGCATCACCTCACCGTTTAGATTTAAAGTTTGCCCTCCTTTTTCTAGCTATGATAGTCCTTGTTCTCAGTAAGAATCTGATGTTCCACCCTGGGTTTGTTGCCTCTGCTGCTTTGGGGAAACATCTGCACAACTCTGCTGAGCTCACTTTGGTAATACGTGGCTGGGGCTCGCCTTTACCCCTCAGGTGGAATCTAGCCAGTGTGTGTGCGTGAATGAAGTCTCGCTCTACCACAGTGACTTCATAAAGGGACTACATTTGGGAAGGAGGCACAATATATAAATAACTAAATATATAAATAAAAACAGCACTAGAATGTCCATAAATGAAGTCACTGCCTTCAGTAAGTGTACGAGTTCTACAATGACGAGCCAAATAGGCAAGATAGAGACTAGAAGGGGAAAAGTAGAGACTCCCTGAGCTGTAGTTGGGAAAATGGGTGCATCCCTATGAATGTTGGTAGGAGTGATTTAAATTACTATGTTTCTAAATGGCAATTTAGAAAGAGCTATTAAGACAAAACAGATTCCTACCCTTTCACTAGCATTCAACCTCTAGAAATGTGTTCTATAAAAACTCTCCTGTAACAACTGGAAACATTCCAAGTGCTCATCAGTGAGGAGATGGCTTAATTATGACACCACCCAACGGTGCAGTCATTAAAAAAAATAGAGACCTGTTTGTTTGTATTATAGTAAGTTACATTAAATAGAATGAGGAAAATATGTGATCTGGTTACTGAGTTGATACCAATGTTCTAGATACTAGGGATAACAGCAATATTCACAATGTCCCTCTCCTCAAAGAGATGAATTCTAATTGAGGAAACAGACAACAAACAAATTGAAGTTTAATGACAGAGCAGTGCTATAAATCAAGCATGGCAAGGAGATAGAAAGTGATAAGGATCAGAAAAAGCCTCTCTGAGGGGGTGACATTGGCGCCGAGACCTGAATAAAGTGAGGGAGCAAGGCAAGAAAGTCAGAAGGGAAAGCCAGGAAGACACCCTGAAGCAGCATGTTTGGCGTTATCAAGAAAATGTGGGAAGACCACGTGACTGGAGAGCAAGGACCACGGGGACGAGGGGCAGCGTGTGAGATCTGAGAGGTGGCCAGGGACCAGGCATTTTATGGGCCATAGTGACAATTTTGGATTTTCTTTTAGTTTTGATGATAAAGCAGCACAAATCTTGAGCAAGGGAATGGCATATTCAGATTTATGTTTTTAAGGAATTGCCATGGCTCTTATGTAGAGAATATTCAGCATTGAGTCCATATAGTATAATCAATTATTTTTTTTGTTAGACAATCTACAATAGGATTGCAGTGACCAAACATGAGAGGAAAACATACAGTCTTTCCTGTGGTTTATTTAGGAGTGTTTTGGGGCACCTGCTTCACAGAGGTTTTATGAGGGTTGAAGAGTTTATAAAGCATTTTCTCATATATTAATGGGGATTAAATGAAACTATATGAAAAACTGAAAGAAAACCAGAAATACATATCAAATGTGTAGATGGAAAAACTGTGACAGGTATTAAAAGTCTAAGTGTTTGTCTAACCTTTTGGTATTGTTCTAATCAAATAAGTGTTTTAGAATTTCATTTCCATGCTGTGAATAGAATGCCGGTTAGTGCATCTCAAAGTGGCTTGAGGAAGTTGCTCTGAACTTAGAGTTTATCAAGAAAATGATCAGCCATTATAATTCACAATGCAAAAAGAGACTTCCACCCAAAACTGCCCGTCAGAAGTCATGCAGCTGAGGCAACAAGCATGAGAGAGCCGTAGAGGCTTGGAGTTAAGATAAAACCTGTTCTACCTCCATAGGTGTGCTATGTGCCATCTCAAATGAGAATGTGTATGGTAAAGTGTTTCAAAAATCATTAAATAAAATACTACCGTTCCTCTTTATGGGATTGTTGATACATGGCCAGAACTGTGGTATTTTTCATGCTTGGTTCCCTGCACCTCTTCTCCTTTAAAGGACAAGGCCCATTCATTTAGGTCTGTTCCCGCACATTTGGAACACTCCAGACTGGGGAAAAACCTTTTAGGTTGTTCAGCATTCTCTTTCCACATAATGCAGCCAGTTTTTTCCCTGCAGTTGATAACTTGAGCAGCCATACTGCAACGAGCTCATGTTGGTTCCCTGAGATTCAGGCAGTCTCTGGGCCTGGGGCAGGGGTCTACCCTCCACTGCTGCCCCTCTGCGCCAAAGCGTATGTGGGCAAAGAGATTCAGCTAATCAGATTATTCTCTTAGACTCTCTTTTTCTGAGTAAACTTTCAATTATATGCATAATTGTTTTATTTGCAGAATCAGTCAACATTCGGGGAGAAACGGCCTAAACAAAACTTAGAGTTTCTTTTACTCTCTCTTGTCAGAGTCAGGCCACAAGAAGTTAAAAAGTACCATCCAGAGAAGCACAGAAACAGGAATGGCAGCCGAAATGAGGAAGATGGTAAGGCAACCAAGTCGAGAGTCTACTGACGGCAGCATCAACAGTTACAGCTCCGAGGGAAAGTAAGTGATGTCAGCACCTCTGCGTGGCTTTAGAACCACGGCCTGTGTGGTCACAGGTAAAGTAACAAAGCCACCAGCGGTTACGGCGCCGCTTCTCTATTTAACTAGGAGTTTAACCCTCCATGTTTTAAAACAGCCTTACCTCTTATGATACGTACACAGGGACATACCTCTGCACCTGCTCACTCAGACCTTTCAGAGGTCTGAAGAAAAGCTGGGTTAACATGAATAAACTGATCTCCATCGTCCAGAAAAGCTCACAATAGTCCAGTCCTGGATGTTTTTAGTGTAGAAATGCTACATTTAGTGGATTATTTCAGGTGGGGAAACTCATGGGCCCAGTCACCAAAATCTGAATTAAAATTTAGAAGTGAGACTTGATTTCCCGTATTCCTACTTTTCTCCAAACTAATTTTTGTTTCTGAGTTGTTGGAAGTCTAACACTCTGATAATAAGCAATTTAAATTTTTTTTTTGTTTTTAAAACATCACTAACTCATTTTTATCTTAGGAAAAAAGCCCAGAATTTATTTTTCTGGTTAAAGAGTTTTAGTTAATTAATCTTTAAAAAATTTAACTAGATTTGTGTTTTGCTTACTTGCTTTTACATATAGATCCTACACAAGAAAAACCCTGCATTTCTCTATGCTTGAGAATTTTTCTGATAAAACCAAACTTTTACTGAGGTTATAGATCTTACAGTTAAGTAATTATTATCCTGTAGTGGGTTACTTGGGGATTGACCGTGTACAAATTTTCTATAATTATTCATTTATTGCCATTCAGAAATCTCATTTACCAATCTAATAGTAATAATTTATTTTACTTTACTGGCATTTTTTAAATTTTGTTCAGAAAATGAAATAAAATTATGCCAAGTTAATGTTCATGATGTGCTTTCCCATTCCCAAAACTAGGGTTTATTTGATCAAATGATTGGTATGCATGCTCCCAGCAAGATACAGCTAAGAGCAAAAATCAGCAGGAACGAAAGTTATGGAGATGAACTTGCTGACAAAATTCCAATATTTGATGAAGTATTATAATGCAATGTGCAAATGAAAGACAGGAGACATTATTTTCTGATATAAAACTAATAAATCAAATAATATTTACCTCCACGGTGCATAAGCCACTTAACCTCTTACAGATTGATTTGCATAGTCTCTGGATGCGATCATGGTATGTGCGCTCTTTAATTCCCTTGATTGTGAGGAAGTAATATGTGAGAAAGCATACTGGAAGCAATAAGTCCCTATAGAAACGTGCTTATTCAAAAAATGCTCATTGAAGTCCAACTGCATGGCAGGCATGGTTCTTGTTGCCCAGGATACATCAATACACAAGAAGAGCATAGTCACTCTCTGCTGGAGCTTACGGCCCAGGGAATTCAGGCAGTCAGGGTGTAGTAAGATATGGACATAGTCTAGGGGCACCTGGGTGGCTCAGTCAGTTAAGTTTCTGCCTTCAGCTCAGGTCATGATCCCAGGACCCTGGGATCGAGTCCCACGTCAGGCTCCCTGCTCAGCAGGGAGGCTGCTTCTCCCTTTCACTCTCCCTCTGTGCTCTCTCTCTCTCTCAAATAAACAAATAAAATCTTTGGGGAAAAAAAAAAAACGCTTTATTTAAAAAAAAAAAGAAATGGGCATAGTCTAATCAATTCTTTTCCATTTGAACTGAATGAAAATCTCAGATAATATAAAAATGTAGTTCATTAAAAAATGAAAAAATTAAGCATTTTTACTTGTAAATAAAAATTTGTACTTTGCTATAACATTTATTGAAGAAATTATCAGGCATTTTTTTAAACTTAGCATTAATGTTACTTAATGTTCATGAACAATTATTTATGTAGAGTTCATGATATAAAAATTTGCATCTTATATTTTATGTCAGCAATATACTTATGTAGGGATTTGTATTTGTAAATGTCCAGAAAACTTAGTATATTAAAAACGACAACTAAGCTCTCCTGAACAGAACGTCAACTCTTAACTTGAGAGTTTATTTAGGCCTTTTCTCAATCAGTGCTGTACTTTATATACTTGGTTCAGAGGCAATGAATGCAAAGAATCAATGTAAACTGTCTAATGTTTATAGATGTGATCAGAATTAGTAGTTAAATGGAAACTAACGAAAAGAATTCTAGGAGATCTAATGTTTTGATTTTTGTCCTTTTACTAATAGCTTAATATTTCCTGGAGTCCGACTAGGAGCAGACAGTCAATTCAGTGATTTTCTTGATGGACTGGGACCAGCTCAGCTTGTTGGCCGCCAAACCCTTGCCACCCCTGCAATGGGTAAGAATCATTTTTTTCCACAGGAAAACTGATGTTTCGTGATTGACAAGGTCATTTAAAGTATCATAATAGTAATATAAGTGAGAAGCAACATTTTAGCAAGGGTAATTCTGGCTTCAAATGACTGTTCTAATTTCTGATGCATGTTTCTCACTTGAGACATTATGCAAAATGAATAAAGTTAGTCATAAATCTTTGAATTATCAGAAAACTCCATCAAGATAGAGAGTCTACAATAGATCCAAATGTAGGATAAGGGTAGCATTTCACAGCACATAAAGATGATGGATTATTCAGTAAGGGATGTTGGCAAAACTGTTTTAATAAGCAAAAAAAAAAAAGATAATGAAATTGCCTCCCTACTTCAGAACTTATAAAAATATTTTATACTCAATTATAAAAGAGAACTGGGGTGGAGAAAGACACTAGGAAATACTGAAAACACTTAATTAATGTTTCTGTGCTCTTGGAGTGGGAAAGAACTTTTCAAAGGGTCAAACCAAAGACAGATAAATTGAAAACTTCTACTAGCAAAATATACCTTAAATTAAGCTAAAAGAAAAATGATGAAGGGAGAAATTGACATGTAACAGGTGCAACAGCTATTCCCCTGAAGGACATGAATTTCCATGGAATTCTCAGCAAAATGCATGAAAATAGGTCACCACACAAAGGCACATCATCATCATGGACTCTCACAGCACCAGAGATTAATAGAAAATCCTACAAGTTTTCTAAGAGGAAAAGTAATTCTATACAAAATTATCAAAAGTCAGATTCCCATCGGACTCCTCAATAATAATACTAGAAGCCAGAAGACTACTTCATATTACCTTAAAAATTCTGAGTAACAGTTAATTTCCAAGGTATAGTACAATCGCCCTCCAAATTATCAAGTAAGGTTCAGGCTGGAATAAAAATATACTGACAAAGAAAGGTCTCAAAACATTTTCCTCACACACAACATTGCTCAGAAAGTTACTGGAGGATATACCTCAACAAAATGAACTAAGTGAACTTAAAAAAATAGGAACTAAAAAAAGAGGAAGAAAAAATCCAGTAAATAAATGTTTCAACACAAGAGAGAAATGGTTGGGATACCCAAGACGATTGTGAAGAAAAATCTAAAGATAACAGTTGCAGCAAGCTTTAAAAGCAATTTTCACTGGGTGTTGTATGCATCTGATGAATTGTTGAGCTCTACATCTGAGGATATACTATATGTTGGCTAATTGAATTTAAATAAAACAAAATTAAATTAAATTAAATTAAGATAAATAAAAGCAATTTGTCCAAATTGCCAGAATCCATAAGATAAAATCTACAGAATACCTAATGTGTTTGATTTTATGGAAGAGGTCAACAACCAGGAGAGAATAAGGGGTTGAACTAATGATATATACACAAAAATTTAGCAGATTCTTTTTAAAAAGACACTTATTTAGTATAGGGAAAAGGAAGAGCTGTCCAAGAAATGAGAAGTAACCATAGTACTCTAGTTCACTCATTTTTTAAAAATTTTATTTTATTATATTAATCACCATACATTACATCATTAGTTTTTGATGTAGTGTTCCATGATTCATTATTTGCGTATAACACCCAGTGCTCCATTCAGTACGTGCCCTCTTTAATACCCATCACCAGGCTAACCCATCCCCCCACCCCCCCTCCCCTCTAGAACCCTCAGTTTGTTTCTCAGAGTCCATAGTCTCTCATGGTTCATCTCCCCCTCTGATCCCCCCCTTCATTTTTCCCTTCCTACTATCTTTTTTTTTTTTTAACATATAATGTATTATTTGTTTCAGAGGTACAGGTCTGTGATTCAACAGTCTTACACAATTCACAGCACTCACCATAGCACATACCCTCCCCAATGTCTATCACCCAGCCACCCCATGCCTCCCACCCCCCACCACTCCAGCAACCCTCAGTTTGTTTCCTGAGATTAAGAATTCCTCATATCAGTGAGATCATATGATACATGTCTTTCTCTGATTGACTTATTTCACTTAGCATAATACCCTCTAGTTCTATCCATGTCGTTGCAAATGGCAAGATTTCATTTTTTTGATGGCTGCATAATATTCCATTGTATATATATACCACATTTTCTTTATCCATCTTCTTTGTCCATCTGTTGATGGACATCTTGGCTTTTTCCATAGTTTGGCTATTGTGGACATTGCTGCTATAAACATTGGGGTACATGTACCCCTTCGGATTACTACATTAGTTCACTCATTTTTAAGTAATGTTACATAATCATAATTAGATAGTCTAATATTGGGATGACAGAAAGTTTCAAGTATATGGCAGGGGTAGGAAGGCAGTAAGAGATTGAAGTTAGAAGTTAATAATAATATCTAAAACTGAAAAACATAGGAAAATACCTTGTAAGTATAGTATTTAGAATAGGGAGGCAAATGCCAAACAGTAAAAAATAAATCAGGCAAAAATATTGAAAATCTTGAAAGCAGTGACTTTTGGAAGGCAAGAAGTTGAAAGAGAGAATGGAACTCTTTTATACTAGTAAGAAGACTTATAGAACAGTTTGACTTTTTAACTATGCATGTATGTGATTAGAACAAAAACAAAAGAGACATCTGGGAGCTGAGTTCTAAAACAGAGTTATAAAACTAATGAATAATCCAGAGCCACAAAGTTGATCAACTGACCTGGCAAATAAAGAGAATTCACAACTGAGAAAATGGAGATCATTTAACTAAGAAAAAATTAGAAATAATTACATTTAGCATTTTCAGAAATAAAGTATCATATCAATCAGAAAATGATGAGCACCTTAGTAAAAGGACATGAACAGGCAAAACGTAAGAGGAAGAATACAAACTGAAAATATTTAGAAATATGTTCAGCCTCTCTATTAATCAAAGAGATGCAAATTATCACTTTTTAACCGTCAGATTGGTAAAAACTAGACATATTCCTAATACCCCTATTAGTGGGTGTGGAATATGAGAGAACAGATACTTCTGGTGGTAGTACAAACAGGCACAATCTTTCTGAAGGATACTTGGCAATATGCATGGAATTTTTGATTGTCCATTTAATTAGACCCAATAATTTAAAATCTGTGTAAAAATTCTTTATAAAGCTGTTCATTGCAGTGCTATTTATAATAGTGACAACATAGATGACCTATATTTCCATCAACAGGGATCTGGTTAAACAGGTAATGACATGCCCATTCACTGGTCCATATAGTCAATAAATTGAGGATGTATGGTCATGAGATAGATAGATGATAGATAGATAGATAGATAGATAGATAGATAGATAGATAGATAGATAGATAGATGAAGAAAGGGAGAGAGAGAGGAAGGAGTAAAGGGAGTAAAGAAATTAGTTAAAGAAAGAGAAAGTACTTATGAGGTTGCTGCGATATTCACCAAAACATTAATATTGGTTTTCTCTAGATAATGGAAATACAGATAATTATACTTTTTTACTAAGAAGTATTATATACTAGGTTATATAAAGGATAAGAAATTCTACTAGAGTATAAGAATAACTTAAATATTTCAGTATTACTGTAATTAAGTGATTTATAAACTAATGTGGGACTCTCATAACATGGATTAGTACCCAAAAAATGAAGAGAAACATTTCAAAACTTGATTTGGAGGCAGGAGAAGAAAAGTGGGAGCCAGGGGCTCTAAATATGAGGGTTTTTATCAAAATCATGAAGATCACAATTTGGAATCTGTCGTGTACCTCTATTTCTTTTAACTGTGTGTAACTGCAAAGAAGCTGAGACATTTTGCTTCCTTTCCATTTGCAGGTGACATACAAATTGGAATGGAGGATAAAAAAGGTCAATTAGAAGTCGAAGTTATTAGAGCACGAAGTCTCACACAAAAACCTGGTTCCAAGTCTACACCCGGTAAGGAAAGGTGGTACTGAGTTTGGACAAGAGAATCTGACATAAGCAAAAAAAATCAAAATATTTGCTGCATTCGAATTCTATATGCTTCATTCTGCATCATCTGATTGATCAAAAAGGCAGCTTTTCTGTATTCTTTGATTCTATAAAAATGGATCTGGGCTTTCCTTGCACCATTATTCTGTCAGAAAGTATAAGGAAGAGTATTATCAAATTAAGAAAAGTTTAGTTATGAGTATTTCTTAGCTTGTGTTGGTTATTTTTTTCCTGTACATTTACAAATGAAAAGGAATTTTTTTTTAGTTTTAAGCATAAAAAAGAAACAATGAGCTTTAAGTTCTACACCTGAACTGTGATGCCCGCTCTACCCCAGGTCAGTCAGTCTTGGGTTAATTTTGCGCACATTTACTGGGAATGAGGAAAATGCCAGTAGAGGTAACAGAAGAGCTTTAAGGAAGAGAAGTTATGGAGCACCAGAAATTTAAAATGATTTAAATAGTTAACGGGAAACTTTTCACTATGCATCTCTAATTCTCTAGTAAGGCATTCTCTAATCAAATTAACTTAACTTGAAGGATTAACTTCTTATATGTTAAATATTACTTTGTTCAGCTCCATACGTCAAAGTGTATCTTTTGGAAAACGGGGCCTGTATAGCCAAGAAGAAGACAAGAATTGCACGAAAAACCCTTGATCCTTTGTATCAGCAGTCCCTGGTGTTTGACGAAAGCCCACAGGGTAAAGTTCTTCAGGTCGGTAACAGTGTGACTGTTTACATTATAATGTCCACATTATCCATATAAACTCTGAGGAGATGGTCAAACATGAGAATAGGTTTCAGTGAGGAGAAATGTAGTGTGACATCCTTGAGTAGAAAAAGACAAATTGTTAACTTACAATATAAACAATATGTAGTATTAAAAATATCTGATGGATCTAAGGGAAAACACAATTTTTATTTTCTCTCCCTTCTTTTTTTCCTTCTCTCCATCCTCTCCTTCTGCTTTTGCCCTGCTTTCCACACCCCCTCTTCTCCATAGGTAGGTAGGTTGGTAGGTAGGTAGGTAGGTAGGTAGGGAGACAGATAATCAAGACAAATGATGCTCATGTTTTATTGAGCATTACTATGTGCCAGACATGGGATACAAAGAGGAAGAAAGGAAAGAAAAAGAGAATATTCAGGACTGGTGAATGTCAGATGCATTGTTAAGAAATTACATACATTACCTCTTTTTTTTAAGATTTATTTATTTTAGAGAGAGCACGTGGCAGGGGCAAGGGGGAGCAGAGGGAGAGAAAATCCCACGCAGACTCCGTGCTGAGCGTGGAGCCCGACTCAGGGCTCCATCTCATGACCCCAAGACCAAGAGTCAGACGGTCAACCAACTGCACCACCCAGGCGCCCCCATACAGTACTTCTTTTAAACATTTTAACTACCATGTGCATAAAATATCAGAGTCCCCATTTTAAAGATTATGTATGAGGATCACAGAGATTAAATAATTTGGCAAGATTACTCAGTAAGTTGAAAAGGCAGGTTTTGCCACTCCTGCGTCTGTAAGCTGGGCAATGAGTTCAGTTGAGAACCGTTACAGATGACCAAAGGATTGGAAAACAGAACCTTAGGAGTAGGAGTAAGTGTAATGGAATGCTTATCTGAAACCAGTAGGAGCTGACCCATATTGTGCTAACTGCCCGTAAACTCTCTGACTTACTAATCATTTGATCAAATCAGAATTTTCAGGCAAATGCTCAAAAGGCAATGTGTGCTTACAATTATTTTTCAACCTGTCCCTTCACTAACAAGTACATAATATAAAAGAAATGTAATGCATGTTCTCATTCTTTATACATACTTCATCGTATACACACTTTACTGTACGCTGAATTACGTTGTTTTGCCCTGCTAACTTGCACAAATTTTAATTTTTGTATCTTTATGGTACTGCACATCACTTACAAGGTAGTAGTTACTAAAGAAGGTATTGAATTCGCATATAAACAAACTTGTATATTTATTTCTTTAACATGGTTTATGTAGCTAATACCCCTCATTGACTGGGGAAACATTACTTGCACTCTATCAGATCTAAAAATTCTTGGGAAGTGTCTCTTTGAGCACCTTAGTGTTAGTATCTTTCTATCGGTTCTACCTCCTTGGTGTCAGTTATATTCATTTCCTCTGCTTCCCTGACTGGCTCACTTTTACAAAATAGTTGCTTTCAACTCTTCAAATGTGAAAGAAAGAGACGTTCAAGTTTTATTGCATTTCTCTGTCTCTGCAGGTGATTGTGTGGGGGGACTATGGCAGAATGGACCATAAATGCTTTATGGGTGTGGCTCAGATCTTGTTGGAAGAACTCGATCTATCCAGTATGGTAATCGGATGGTACAAGTTATTCCCACCATCATCCCTAGTGGATCCCACACTCACTCCCCTAACCCGCCGGGCTTCCCAGTCATCTCTGGAAAGTTCAACTGGGCCTCCCTGCATCCGCTCATAGTGAACTCATACCAGAGTCATTCCAGTGAAACTCTACCTTTCAGGATAATAATCTGAACCAGATATTTCATGATCAAAAGCATTGTTGGAGACAGACAATCAACTTGTGTTTTGCCTGTAGTAGTTTTTCAATAATATGTCCCACTTGTTGTTTAAAACCTGGCTTCATATGACAGAACAAGGCAGTTTATCAAATTACAGTAAGAGTCAACATGCTAGTGAGAGTCACTGATGCTTCTGACAAACAGAAAAAGAGGAAACTTCAAATCCACACAAACACACACACACACACACACATACACACACAGGCATGCACACACCCCAAATTGAACAAACTGGAAACTCTCACTCTGAAAAGTTGTATTTTACACATTTCTGCACAAACCACAAGCAGTGTTATTTCCCTGGTGTTTGAAAAGTTGTGTTCTTCTGTGTGTTTTTGTGTGTGTGTGTTATTTGATGGGTTTTGGTTTCTTGATTTGTTTTATTTTTCACTGTATTTGTTATTTCCACTATTTTTGGATATGTCATGACAGGCCTCATGATGCTTACAAAGACCCTTCCTTTCTTTTCCCAAAAGCACCAAAAAAGGGCTGAAACAGTCTCTGTGGCATCTCCCCAAAGTGTGCAACTACCAGGCAAGATGAGGCCAATGAAGGGTTTCACTGGCTTTCATTTTATAATCCTTCAGTCTTATGTGCGGAAACCCAGAAAACAAAAAGTTATCTTCTGGAACAAATAATCACAGAATCACTTTTTTTAAATGAAAAATAATCTGTTTGTGTTCTAAAAAGTTAATTTATTTTTTCCATTGTTTTTCATGGAAGACTTTTAAAGAAGTCAATCTGCAACTAATGCTGGGAACTAAAACTAACCGCATAATTGTACTTTGGAAACACTCCTTGTAATAACTTTTTCTTCCTGATATCTCCCCATAAAAGTATATGCTCGTGTGTATAAACCATACTTTTGACTTCCCAAAATGGTGACTAGAAACAGATTTGAGCCTAAGACACTTTCAGCTATGCCCAGGCTTCTCGGCCATGTCTCAGTGTAGACACACCCATCTGCCCTGGAAAGAGCATGGTATGAGCTGTCCAGTATTGCACTGGAAATTCCAGCTGAAATATTCTGCACTAAAGTAATGTTTTTATCCAATTTTAATTTACATTTCTTTGAGATTGATGCAAGCACAAAGCTTGACTTTTTAATGCAAAGTATCTTACTTTGGGGGGTGGGGAATAAAACAAAGTCAACTTTCAACTTGCATTTTCTTCATCTGAGTTTTTCTTGGCCTTGAATTTCCCTTGTGACATTCTGTATACGTGCTACAAAGTGCAGACTCTGCGAGTGCACTGATATGTTCTCCCTCCTTTTATGAGTCACTCAATTTTTGTGATCACACAAATAGAGCAGCATGACTTGGAACTGTTCAAAGCTGCATGCACGTTTTGTTAAAAAAAAAAGTAAAAAAGAAAAGAAAAAATGAAAAAAACCACAAAAGGTTATTTAATAATGTATGTTAGTTCCACCTTAGGCCAGCTTGTATGTTGCATGTACTTGTACAGTTTGCTCGTTAATTACTATACTGAAATAACCAAGAAATCTAAGCCATCCATTTTTGTTATAGACATTTTGCAGGTTTTAGCCAGACTCCGTCTATGAGTTTGGGGTGAAATGTCTATAGATGGACTTTATTTTTTACCCTCCGGAAAACGTGATGTAGTATGGACCAAATTCCTTCTAATTAATATTTTGGTGTAGATTCCTACCGTGGGGCTGTACCACATGTAGACACTGTGTACACACTAGGTTTTAATCCATAGACATACTGCCTGCACCAAGTGAATTATTTATTATTATTTACACATGCCAGAATTACCTGCCCATCATTCCACAGGGCACAGATTGACCACTACTCACCATGCTGAGCAGGAAGAACTGAAGCATTGGTGCACTTCTACTAGATTCCGTTCTGTCTTAGTGGCCAACAATCAACTAATTATAATTGGGTAGTATCTTTCTATTTTGACCACTTGTCTTAACACTCCCCTGTGCTTTTAAAATGAACAACTCATGTATGTAAACATGTTTAATAAAATTTACTTTTCATGTCAGTTGGTAGCCATCTGTGTTCTATGTTTTGCCAGATTTTCATTGTGGGTTCTATGGTGCAAAATGGGAGCCAGATCTTGGGAAAGGGAGGCTGGGATTTGTTGTCTGCTGTGGGCATTTGACTTGACTTGTCACTGCCCTATATATGTCTTAATCTACGCCCAAAGGGTACTTTGCATCACATACAAGTTTTCACTTTGTCAGCCTGTCTAAGTGAGCACATGACTATACTTCTGAAAAGTGGCATTATTAAAAACAATAAATCTCAGTAAGAATCAAATGGAAGGTTGTTTTTCTGCTGCTGTTTGAGTGTGCTAATAAAAGAGACAACTCTCTTGTCCAATTGCCAAATCATTTCCAGTTATGTGACATATCAGAATATTAACTCCTGCGTCTCTCATCAAAGCACCTGGTTCCTCTTTCCATCATCTTTCCTTGAACCCCTGACTGATTTGTAGATCTTTGCCTTAGATTAGGCCAACTTAACAAACCAAGCAATCCATTAAATTATCTTCAGTAGATCTTAGGGAATAAATATATCTTCAAATACAGTAGATGAGTCTCTATAAATAATATGTTAAAAGATAAATTATTAGTTTTCTTAATTTAATTTTACAACTCTTCCTTTTCTTCTCCAAAAATGTGTTCATGAATTTCATAATCATCGTCCCCACAAAATACTTGGTAAGGAATAATTTCATATTCCAGCTTATTTGTAGTAAAGTAACTGTTGGGATCTAGTCTCCACCTTTTAAAAGCCCTTAATATTTTTATAGACCACACTGGCTTTGATTTAAAGCAAAATAAACACAACTAAATCAATATCAAATTTGAGACAATAAAGCAATGTGAGACATGTCACTACCTCAGTTGTTTAAAGTGTTTTAAACAGTTGACTGAATTTTACCCTATTGAGTCAACCAGTTGTTTGGTCTACAAGACATGAAATTATCTGTTAGGTTGGGTCAAGAAGACAAAAACAACAGATCAGTTCAGTTTACAACAAGCCGTCAGAGCTGAGCTGTTTAATGCACATAACTTGGTGGGGGAGGCAGGGCAAGTCTGACTTTAAAATAGGAGGCAACTGAGTACAGCCTTAAAATTCTTTGTCTAGACAGAGACAGAAAAGCAGAAATCTCTCATCAAATCAGGTAAGTCTTCCCAGCATTATGACTTCAGGGCCTACAATGGTAGAGAGGAAGTAACCGTAGGAAAAGCAATTTTGCTGTCTTCATGGTTTCTTGCTGACTCTGACAACTTAATATCCGGAAATCCCAGCCTGAGATATATGATCTGGTTATACTTAACCAACATTATTAAGGGCTTTGTTGGGTACTAGATGTTATGGTATTTACTTGGGATGTAAAAATGAAAAACAAAACAAAACTGACCCTGTCTTAAAGGAGCTCCTTGTCTACTAAGAGAGAAACCATGCCATAAAGAAATAATTACAGCAATGTATTCTGATTTGTATACAAAGGGCTATGGGATTACCTTCAATTCTCACAATGGCCCTAAGAGTTAAGAACTCTTATAACCCTATTTCACATAAAGGATCTGCAGCTTGCAGAGGTTAAATAACCGGCCAAAAGTCACATCACTGGTTAGTGATGGAGCTGGGATATGAACCAAAGTCTGACTCCAGAGCCCGCCCTGCTAAACACTTTGCATCCTCCATTATGCCCTGAGAGTGGAGCTAGATCTTTAAGAATGAAGAGTCCATCAGATGGGAAAGAAGGGAAAGAACCCTAACCCAGGGGCGCCTGGGTGGCTCAGTCATTAAGCGTCAGCTCATGATCCCAGGGTCCTGGGATGAAGCCCCACATCGGGCTCCCTGCTCCACGGGAAGCCTGCTTCTTCCTCTGCCACTCCTTTTGCTTGTGTTCCCTCTCTTGCTGTGTCTCTCTCTGTCAAATAAATAAAATCCTTAAAAAAAAAACTCTAACCCAAACCATTCTGCCTCAACGCAACTGCCAACCAGTTCCAAGTACTTTACCCATAAGCATCTTTACTGTAGATATCTTGCCCACAAGTATTTTTGCCACAAACATTTTCACCACATAACTCATTGGCTATCATGCAATTTTGCCCTATAAGATAAAAAAACAGACAAAAACTGACTGATGGTTTGATTTGACAGTTTGTTGGTTTCATCAACTGGTTGACAGCTTGGTTTCATTTCTCCATTGACACAGTATTCCCATTTTATACTATGTCAATCTTAGCTCTCATAATGGTCTACAGAGCAAAAAAAATGTGTATAATATAATGAAGGACTTCAGAGACAAGTACTTAGGTACAGTCCACAAAACACAATCTGTTATTTGCACAGCACTGCCATGAATCTACATACATTTTAAATGTATTCAAATATTTAGTATTTCACAATAAAGGGTTTTTAATTTTGTTACTCATTTTTCATGTCTCATTCTGTCCTTTTTAATGAATTTTTATTCGTTAAAATTTTATTCATTCTTTTATTTTTTGTGGTTTTTATCTTTTATAGCAAAATTACTTTACAGCCAATTAGCTGTGTGGCAAAAATGCTGGTAGCGATTTTTTGTAGCATTACAGCTAAGATGCTTATGTGGAAAATACCTGACACGTTCCCCACCAATAAGGTTTTCCAGTTGCATGTCTCTAGTGCTCTGCTGTTACCACGGGAGGTGGGGGAATAGGGAAGGGAGGCAGGTGAACTCTTCTCCATCTGCTGAGCTTTCTTTCTAAGACTTCTGTCCTCTAACTCTCTCCTCTGCATCCTCCTCCGACTGCACTCACCATTTGCATTATTAAACTTCTAGAATAGATCATATCAGCTCTTAGGAAGAGTATTAATAAAGGAGATGGACCAAAATTGTCCTTAGCTGAGCCTCACACTTATCCTTTGGTTTCAAGGTAAAATTGTCTTTTGAGTACCTGACTCCTTGTCCCTAGTCCCAATGCATAGTGCCCCTGAATTCTGCATCAGTCACAAAAACCTGCACCTTGGGGTTGAACTGATCGGCCCTGAATCCCAGAGTCATGTAGCATTTCAGTCCTCCCAGAGTCAGTCCATATGGCCTCTTAAGTTATTTGCTCCCAAAAATAGATTCCATGACTCCTTATCTATGCATAGAGTCCCTTCTCTTCAGAGGAGCTCAGAAGTTACCAGGCCTTACCCAGCTCCCACACCCTACCTCCCATCCCGGTTTCTCAGGTAGCTCTCAAGAAGACACAACATATGCAAGTCTTCACAACTTCCAAGTGTAAACCAAATATGGTCAATATCATGGCCATCACATGACGCTTTTATTAGTTGGTCTCACACAGGTTACTCTACACTCATGGCTTGGGACAAAGTCTTACAAGTTGGGATTTTTTTTTTCCTTTTTTCTTTTTCAAATTGCCTCAAAGAGATGCTCTGGGGCCACTGCATCCCATTGCTGCTAAAACTTTTTCCTTTGTCCCATTAGCTCCCCAAATGGGCAGCGTCACACACCCCCCACACATCCACCATGGGTATATATGTGATGATCTCTGATAACGCGGGTCAGGTCTTCACTACTGAGTTCTTCCGAATTATATAGACCTTCCAGTTTATCCCTCCTTTTGTTTTCACCACCCAACTTCAAACGTGGTCTCTTCTATCTTGGCTCCAATACCTCAGCTACTGTTCATTCATAACCCCAACATATGGTTGCCAGATCAAACACAGACTATGCAGATGAATTTCATGTGAAAAAAGGGAATAATTAAAATTAAGCATGATTTTAAAATTAGTTCTTTTTATCAGAAATTCAAATTTATTTTGGCATTCTGTATTTTTATTTGCCAAATCTGGCAACCTTACCCCTATTGCCATGTGGTCTGTGCACCCCCACCACTTCGCTGATACGCTATCTAGCCACAGACAGATTCCAGTAGTCTTTGCACAGCATAGTTATTGACCCTCTCTGTATCTACTACTGAAGATTTCCTTCTTGGAAGTTTTTCTCTCCTCTTCTTATGGTCCCAGTTTTCCAACTTGAAGGCAAGATTTTGTTCCCAATTCTTTACTCCTTCTGAAACGATGATACATACTCAGATCCATTGCCACGTTGCTTGGCAGTGCGCCTCACCACAGAAGAGGCTGAGAATATATATATCCCTGTCCCATTGACTTTGGGTTTGGCCAGATGATTTGCTTCTGTGTTAGTTATTTCACTCACAGGGAGTTACTGGACGTGACATAAGCAGAGGCCGTTCTCCCCGGGAAGGGCTTTCTGCAGGGAGGGGCTGCTCGTTCAACCTGCTCCTTGAATAAAAGACACGTGTAACAGACCTGAACCCAACTTCCAGGCTGAAACAGAGCTGCCCCAGCTGACCTCCAGATCTGTGGACAATAAACAATTAAAAGGTTAATTAGGTTAATTAGAGGTTAATTAACTATTTAAAAGTTATATTAAGAGCTGAATTAATAAAACCGTACTATAGAACATATCTGTTAAATGGAATAATAATACTACCCTCTTTGTAGCATTATTTTGAAGATTAAGGTAAGTAATAAATACTGAATTCTTAGGATAAAATCTGAATGCATAGTAAACAGCCCATAAATGTTAGCTATCATAACTTCTGCATCAAAGACTAATATTCATCGAAGTTAAATGTATGAAGACTGTACACGAACATAGAACTCTTGCGCAGATCAACTCTTTAGTGCCTGCTTATTTATTCAAGCCACCACCACTGCTGGAATGTTCCTTCCCTGTACCCTCAGATAAGACGAGAGGAAGATTTGTCTCCACTCGGGCCACAGAAGTGCTAGCTGCCATGGCCCATACCACATCTGCTTTCTTCAGCCCACTCCTGGCACCTCAGTGGGGCTGTTGCTCACTCCTTTTCTAAGCCAAGCCTGGCTTTTAGTCAGGACCACTTCCTGGAAAGCAAGCAGAGAACTCCCTGTGACCCAGCCCAGCAGAACCACTCTCACCAGCGTTTTTGGTGCCATTTCCTAGATAATGTAGTTAACAGTTCTTGCCAT